ATTTCTCAGAAATTTGACAACAAAACAAAACAAAACGAGTATTTCATTTGCTAATTTTTCGCTATTTATATTGTTTAATGTAAATTTATGTCTTTTTAGGATATGTTGAGCCAACAAAGAAGACGCAGTTGGAAAATGGAGTAATTAGTAATGAAGTAGCAGGCATATTTTGAAAATTATGCCGATAAGCAGGATGGAATTTGGAAAAGTAAGTGCCTGGTTGCAGCATATCTATGCATCAAAAAGTATTTAATTAAATTGTTTATAGAAATGTTATAAATCGATTGGCTCATTTAGGATGTGCTCCAAACATTTGGCGAACTTTTTTTCGCCTTTTCAACGTGCTAAGTAACAAGTTAAGATGACTGCCATCATGGGCCGGTAAGAAACCGCAAGCAAAGGGCAGACAACCTTCCAGGAAGCTGCCTCCTGTCCCCGAGCCGAAGCTGCAGTTCAGCAAGAGCAGGTCAGCAAATTGCTACCCTGATCAAACGTAAACTAAAGCGCTCTGCTGTGATTGCACTCCGTAAATGTGAAAACTTGGTGCATGCTGAGAAATATCAAACANAAACAAAGGGCAGACAACATCCTGTCCCCGAGTCGAAGCTGCAGTTCAGCAAGAGCAGGTCAGCAAATTGCTACCCTGATCAAACGTAAACTAAAGCGCTCTGCTGTGATTGCACTCCGTAAATGTGAAAACTTGGTGCATGCTGAGAAATATCAAACAAGAAAACTCCGTGATGGACGCCGTGAGATAGAGTTGCGCTGTGTGGCAAAGAAATGCGGCCAATTCTACGGGCCTAAAAAATACAAATTGGCTTTTGTGATCCGTATCCGCGGTATCAACAAGGTTGCACAAAAAGTGCGTAAAGTTTTACAGTTCCGTCTTCGCCACATTAAAACGTTGTGTTCATCAAATTGAGCAAGGCAACCATTAATGTGCTACGTATGCCGAACCCTATATAGGGTTGTCCAAATCTTAAATCAGTTCGTGAATTGATGTACAAACGTGGAATTGTC